AAAATAAGGTGCATATCAATAACAAAAAAAATATAAAGTAAATAAATAAAAGGATAAGAGGAAAATGCTTGAATTGACGCTTAAAATTAATTTCGGTCTAGAAAAGCCACACTGCTTCGCAGGACGGGGTATTTTAAAAGAATAAAGCGTAAGGAACATGGCGTGTGCGATCATACCAGCACTAATGCACCGGATCCCATCAGAACTCCGAAGTTAAGCGTGCTTGGGCGAGAGTAGTACTAGGATGGGTGACCCCCTGGGAAGTCCTCGTGTTGCACTCTCATTTTTGTTTCGAAATCCAAATTTCCTATTCGTTCTTTATCCTGTAGTAATTTAGCTCCGTCGGAACGATTGCTTTATATTTTGCTTCTTGTCGAAGCATGAAGGCGGGTCTGAAGGCGCGAGCCAAATCAGGAACGGTACGGCTCGATCAAAGCCCGGATCGTCGCTCAAATTTGTGGGCGCAAATGTATCACCGCAAGCGTGAAGCAATGATTTCATGATAATTTAGAGTTGCGGGATGTGGGAAAAAAATAGGGTGCAAATCAATAACAAAAAAAATATAAAGTAAATAAATAAAAGGATAAGAGGAAAATGCTTGAATTGAAGCTTAAAATGAATTTCGGTCTAGAAAAACCACACTGTTTCGCAGCACGGGGTGGTTTAAAAGAATAAAGCGAAAGGAACATGGTGGGGGCGATCATACCAGCACTAATGCACCGGATCCCATTAGAACTCCGAAGTTAAGCGTGTTTGGGCGAGAGTAGTACTAGGATGGGTGACCCCCTGGGAAGTCCTCGAGTTCCACCCCTCCCTTTTTTGTTTCGAAATCGAAATTTCCTATTCGTTCTTTATCCTGTAGTAATTTGGCTCCGTCGGAACGATTGCTTTACATTTTGCTTCGTGTCGAAGCATGAAGGCGGGTCTGAAGGCGCGAGACAAATCGGTAACGGTACGGCTCGATCAAAGCCCGGATCGTCGCTCAAATTTGTCGGCGCAAATATATCACCGCAAGCGTGAAGGATTGATTTCATGATAATTTAGAGTTGCGGGATGAGGGAGAAAACAGGGTGCAAATCAATAACAAAAAAAAATATAAAGTAAATAAATAAAAGGAAAAGAGAAAATGCTTTTGAATTGACGCTTAAAATGGAATTTCGGTCTAGGAAAAGCCACACTGCGCTTCGCAGGACGGGTAGTTCTAAAAGAAATAAAGCGAAAGGAACAATGGCGGGTGCGATCATACCAGCACTATGTGCACCGGATCCCATCAGAACTCGAAAAAATCACATATGTTTAGCGTGCTTGGCCGCAGAGTCAGTACTTAGCGATGGAGGTGACCCCTGGGAAAGGTCCTCGTGTTGCACCCTCTTTTTTTTGTTTCGAAATCCAAATTTCCTATCGTTCGTTTATCCTGTAGTAATTTAGCTCCTACGAACGATTGCTTTATATTTTGCTTCTTGTCGAAGCATGAAGGCGGGTCTGAAAGGCGCGAGACATATCAGGAACGGTACGCCGATCAAAGCCCGGCATCGTCGCTCAAATTTAGTCGCGCAAGGTATCACCGCAAGCGTGAAGGATTGATTTCATGATAATTTAGAGTTGCGGGATGAGGGAAAAAAATAAGGTGCAAATCAATAACAAAAAAAATATAAAGTAAATAAATAAAAGAATAAGAGGAAAATGCTTGAATTGACGCTTAAAATGAATTTCGGTCTAGAAAAGCCACACTGCTTTTCAGGACTGGGTAGCTTAAAGGAATAAAGCGAAAGGAAAATGGCGGGTGCGATCATACCAGCATTAATGCACCGGATCCCATCAGAACTCCGAAGTTAAGCGTGCTTAGGCGAGAGTAGTACTTGGATGGGTGACCCCCTGGGAAGTCCTCGTGTTGCACCCCTCTTTTTTTTGTTTCGAAATCCAAATTTCCTATTCGTTCTTTATCCTGTAGTAATTTAGCTCCGTCGGAACGATTGCTTTATATTTTGTTTCTTGTCGAAGCATGAAGGCGGGTCTGAAGGCGCGAAACAAATCAGGAACGGTATTGCTCGATCAAAGCCCGGATCGTCGCTCAAATTTGTCGGCGCAAATGTATCACCGCAAACGTGAATGATTGATTTCATGATAATTTAGAATTGCGGGATGAGGGAAAAAAATAAGGTGCAAATCAATAACAAAAAGAAATATAAAGTAAATAAATAAAAGGATAAGAGGAAAATGCTTGAATTGACGCTTAAAATTAATTTCGGTCTAGAAAAGCCACACTGCTTCGCAGGACGGGGTATTTTAAAAGAATAAAGCGAAAGGAAAATGGCGGGTAGTGCGACATACCAGCATTAATGCACGGGGCGGATCGCGCATCAGAATCGGCGAAGTTAAGCGTGCTTAGGCGAGAGTAGTAGCTAGGATGGGTGACCCCTGGGAAGTCCGTCGTGTTGGCACCGCCTCTTTTTTTTTTGTTTCGAAAATCCAAATGTTCCTATTCGTTCTTATCCGTAGTAATTTAGCCCGCGGAACGATTGCTTATATTTTGTTTCCTTGGTCGAGCATGAAGGCGGGTCTGAGGCGCGAAACAAATCAGGAAACGGTATTGCTCGCCAAAGCCCGATGCGTCGCTCAAGGATTTGTCGCGCAGCAAATGAATCCCGGCTAGCGTGAGATTGATTCATGATAATTAGAGTTGCGGCGATGAGGGGAAAAAAATTTAGGGCTGCAAATCAATAAGCAAAAGAAATAAATAAAGTAAATAAATTAAAGATAAGAGGAAAATGCTTGAATTGAAACGGCTTAAAAATTAATTTCGGGCTAGAAAGCCACACTGCTTCGGGCAGGAGCGGGGTTTTTAAAAGAATAAAGCGAAAAGAACATGGCGGGTGCGATCATACCAGCACTAATGCACCGGATCCCATCAGAACTCCGAAGTTAAGCGTGCTTGGGCGAGAGTAGTACTAGGATGGGTGACCCCCTGGGAAGTCCTCGTGTTGCACTCTCATTTTTGTTTCGAAATCCAAATTTCCTATTCGTTCTTTATCCTGTAGTAATTTAGCTCCGTCGGAACGATTGCTTTACATTTTGCTTCGTGTCGAAGCATGAAGGCGGGTCTGAAGGCGCGAGACAAATCAGTAACGGTACGGCTCGATCAAAACCCGGATCGTCGCTCAAATTTGTCGGCGCAAATATATCACCGCAAGCGTGAAGGATTGATTTAATGATAATTTAGAGTTGCGGGATGAGGAAAAAACAGGGTGCAAATCAATAACAAAAAAAATATAAAGTAAATAAATAAAAGGATAAGAGAAAAATGCTTGAATTGACGCTTAAAATGAATTTCGGTCTAGAAAAGCCACACTGTTTCGCAGGACGGGGTAGTTTAAAAGAATAAAGCGAAAGGAACATGGCGGGTGCGATCATACCAGCACTAGTGCACCGGATCCCATCAGAACTCCGAAGTTAAGCGTGCTTGGGCGAGAGTAGTACTAGGATGGGTGACCTCCTGGGAAGTCCTCGTGTTGCACCCCTCTCTTTTTTGTTTCGAAATCCAAATTTCCTATTCGTTCTTTATCCTGTAGTAATTTAGCTCCGTCTGAACGATTGCTTTATATTTTGCTTCTTGTCGAAGCATGAAGGCGGGTCTGAAGGCGCGAGACAAATCAGGAACGGTACGGCTCGATCAAAGCCCGGATCGTCGCTCAAATTTGTCGGCGCAAACGTATCACCGCAAACGTGAATGATTGATTTCATGATAATTTAGAATTGCGGGATGAGGGAAAAAAATAAGGTGCAAATCAATAACAAAAAATATAAAGTAAATAAATAAAAGGATAAGAGGAAAATGCCTTGTATTGACGCTCTAAATGAATTTCGGTCTAGAAAAGCCAAGCACTGCTTTTTCCAGGACTGGTAGTTTAATGGATAAAGTGAAGAGGAAAATGCGGGTGGCGATCATACCAGCATTAATGCACCGGATCCCATCAGAACTCCGAAGTTAAGCGTGCTTAGGCGAGAGTAGTACTAGGATGGGTGACCCCCTGGGAAGTACTCGTGTTGCACCCCTCTTTTTTTTGTTTCGAAATCCAAATTTCCTATTCGTTCTTTATCCTGTAGTAATTTAGCTCCGTCGGAACGATTGCTTTATATTTTGTTTCTTGTCGAAGCATGAAGGCGGGTCTGAAGGCGCGAAACAAATCAGGAACGGTATTGCTCGACCAAAGCCCGGATCGTCGCTCAAATTTGTCGGCGCAAATGAATCACCGCTAGCGTGAAGAATTGATTTCATGATAATTTAGAGTTGCGGGATGAGGGAAAAAAATAGGGTGCAAATCAATAACAAAAAGAAATATAAAGTAAATAAATAAAAGGATAAGAGGAAAATGCTTGAATTGACGCTTAAAATTAATTTCGGTCTAGAAAAGCCACACTGCTTCGCAGGACGGGGTATTTTAAAAGAATAAAGCGAAAGGAACATGGCGGGTGCGATCATACCAGCACTAATGCACCGGATCCCATCAGAACTCCGAAGTTAAGCGTGCTTGGGCGAGAGTAGTACTAGGATGGGTGACCCCCTGGGAAGTCCTTGTGTTGCACTCTCATTTTTGTTTCGAAATCCAAATTTCCTATTCGCTCTTTATCCTGTAGTAATTTAGCTCCGTCGGAACGATTGCTTTATATTTTGCTTCGTGTCGAAGCATGAAGGCGGGTCTGAAGGCGCGAGACAAATCAGTAACGGTACGGCTCGATCAAAGCCCGGATCGTCGCTCAAATTTGTCGGCGCAAATGTATCACCGCAAGCGTGATGGACTGATTTCATGATAATTTAGAGTTGCGGGATGAGGGAAAAAAACAGGGTGCAAATCAATAACAAAAAAAAATATAAAGTAAATAAATAAAAGGATAAGAGAAAAATGCTTGAATTGACGCTTAAAATGAATTTTCGGTCTAGAAAAGCCACACTGTTTCGGCAGACGGGGTATTTAAAAGAATAAAGGCGAAAGGAAGCATGCGGGTGCGATCATACCAGCAAACTAGTGCAAGCCGGATCCCATCAGAACTCCGAAGTTAAGCGTGCTTGGGCGAGAGTAGTACTAGGATGGGTGACCCCCTGGGAAGTCCTCGTGTTGCACCCCTCTCTTTTTTGTTTCGAAATCCAAATTTCCTATTCGTTCTTTATCCTGTAGTAATTTAGCTCCGTCGGAACGATTGTTTTATATTTTGCTTCTTGTCGAAGCATGAAGGCGGGTCTGAAGGCGCGAGACAAATCAGGAACGGTACGGCTCGATCAAAGCCCGGATCGTCGCTCAAATTTGTCGGCGCAAATGTATCACCGCAAACGTGAATGATTGATTTCATGATAATTTAGAATTGGCGGGATGAGGGAAAAAATAAGGTGCAAATCAATAACAAAAAATAATAAAGTAAATAAATAAAAAGGATAAGAGGAAAATTGCTTGTATTGACGGCTTAAATGAATTCGGTCTAGAAAGCGCACAACTGCTTTTGCAGGACTGGGTAGTTTAATGGGAATAAAAGCGAAAGGAAAATATGGCGGGTGCGATCATAGCCAGCATTATGCAGCGCGGATCCCATCAGAATCCGAAGTTAAGGTGCGCTTCAGGCGAGAGTAGTACTTGGATGGGTGACCCCTGGGAAGTCCTCGTGTTGCACCCTCTTTTTTTTGTTTCGAAATCGCAAATTCCTATTCGTTCTTTATCCTGTAGTAATTTAGCTCGGCGTCGAACGATTGGCTTTATATCTTTGTTTCTTGTCGAAGCATGAAGGCGGTCTGAAGGCGCGAAAAATCAGGAACAGTATTTGCTGCGACCAAAGCGGCCGGATCGTCGGCATGCAAATTTGTCGGCGCAAATGAATCAGCGCGCAAGCGTGAAGAATTGATTTCAATGATAATTTAGAGTTGCGGGATGAGGGAAAAAAATAGGGTGCAAATCACATAACAAAAAGAAATATACAAAGTAAATAAATAAAAGGATAAGAGGAAAATGCTTGAATTGACGCTTAAATTAATTTCGGTCTAAAAAAGCCACACTGCTTCGCAGGACGGGGTATTTCAAAAGAATAAAGCGAAAGGAACATGGCGGGTGCGATCATACCAGCACTAATGCACCGGATCCCATCAGAACTCCGAAGTTAAGCGTGCTTGGGCGAGAGTAGTACTAGGATGGGTGACCCCCTGGGAAGTCCTCGTGTTGCACTCTCATTTTTGTTTCGAAATCCAAATTTCCTATTCGTTCTTTATCCTGCAGTAATTTAGCTCCGTCGGAACGATTGCTTTACATTTTGCTTCGTGTCGAAGCATGAAGGCAGGTCTGAAGGCGCGAGACAAATCAGTAACGGTACGGCTCGATCAAAGCCCGGATCGTCGCTCAAATTTGTCGGCGCAAATATATCACCGCAAGCGTGAAGGATTGATTTCAGGATAATTTAGAGTTGCGGGATGAGGGAAAAAACAGGGTGCAAATCAATAACAAAAAAAAATATAAAGTAAATAAATAAAAGGATAAGAGAAAAATGCTTGAATTGACGCTTAAAATGAATTTCGGTCTAGAAAAGCCACACTGCTTCGCAGGACGGGGTAGTTTAAAAGAATAAAACGAAAGGAACATGGCGGGTGCGATCATACCAGCACTAGTGCACCGGATCCCATCAGAACTCCGAAGTTAAGCGTGCTTGGGCGAGAGCAGTACTAGGATGGGTGACCCCCTGGGAAGTACTCGTGTTGCACCCCTCTCTTTTTTGTTTCGAAATCCAAATTTCCTATTCGTTCTTTATCCTGTAGTAATTTAGCTCCGTCGGAACGATTGCTTTATATTTTGCTTCTTGTCGAAGCATGAAGGCGGGTCTGAAGGCGCGAGACAAATCAGGAACGGTACGGCTCGATCAAAGCCCGGATCGTCGCTCAAATTTGTCGGCGCAAATGTATCACCGCAAACGTGAATGATTGATTTCATGATAATTTAGAATTGCGGGATGAGGAAAAAAAATAAGGTGCAAATCAATAACAAAAAAAATATAAAGTAAATAAATAAAAGGATAAGAGGAAAATGCTTGTATTGACGCTTAAAATGAATTTCGGTCTAGAAAAGCCACACTGCTTTTCAGGACTGGGTAGTTTAAAGGAATAAAGCGAAAGGAAAATGGCGGGTGCGATCATACCAGCATTAATGCACCGGATCCCATCAGAACTCCGAAGTTAAGCGTGCTTAGGCGAGAGTAGTACTAGGATGGGTGACCCCCTGGGAAGTCCTCGTGTTGCACCCCTCTTTTTTTTGTTTCGAAATCCAAATTTCCTATTCGTTCTTTATCCTGTAGTAATTTAGCTCCGTCGGAACGATTGGTTTATATTTTGTTTCTTGTCGAAGCATGAAGGCGGGTCTGAAGGCGCGAAACAAATCAGGAACGGTATTGCTCGACCAAAGCCCGGATCGTCGCTCAAATTTGTCGGCGCAAATGAATCACCGCAAGCGTGAAGAATTGATTTCATGATAATTTAGAGTTGCGGGATGAGGGAAAAAAATAGGGTGCAAATCAATAACAAAAAGAAATATAAAGTAAATAAATAAAAGGATAAGAGAAAATGCTTGAATTGACGCTTAAAATTAATTTCGGTCTAGAAAAGCCACACTGCTTCGCAGGACGGGGTATTTTAAAAGAATAAAGCGAAAGGAACATGGCGGGTGCGATCATACCAGCACTAATGCACCGGATCCCATCAGAACTCCGAAGTTAAGCGTGCTTGGGCGAGAGTAGTACTAGGATGGGTGACCCCCTGGGAAGTCCTCGTGTTGCACTCTCATTTTTGTTTCGAAATCCAAATTTCCTATTCGTTCTTTATCCTGCAGTAATTTAGCTCCGTCGGAACGATTGCTTTACATTTTGCTTCGTGTCGAAGCATGAAGGCAGGTCTGAAGGCGCGAGACAAATCAGTAACGGTACGGCTCGATCAAAGCCCGGATCGTCGCTCAAATTTGTCGGCGCAAATATATCACCGCAAGCGTGAAGGATTGATTTCAGGATAATTTAGAGTTGCGGGATGAGGGAAAAAACAGGGTGCAAATCAATAACAAAAAAAAATATAAAGTAAATAAATAAAAAAATTTAAAAAGGAATTAAAGAAAGAAAAAAAAAATGCTTGAATTGACGCTTAAAATGAATGTCGGTCTAGAAAAGCCACACTGCTTCGGCAGGAGCGGGGTAGTTTTTAAGAAGAATAAAGCGAAAGGAACATGGCGGGTGCGATCATACAGCACTAGTGGCACCGGATCCCATCAGAAACTCCGAAAGTTAAGCGTGCTTGGGCGAGAGTAAGTATAGGATGGGTGACCTGCGCTGGGAAGTCTCGTGTTGCACCCCTCTCCTTTTTTTGGTTTTTTCCGAAAATCTCAAATTCCTATTCCGTTCTTTATCCTGTAGTAATTTAGCTCGCGTTCGGAGACGATTGCTGTTATATTTTGCTTCATTGTCGAATAGCATGAAGGCGGGTCTGAAGGCGCGAGACAAATCAGGAACGGTACGGCTCGATCAAAGCCCGGATTGTCGCTCAAATTTGTCGGCGCAAATGTATCACCGCAAACGTGAATGATTGATTTCATGATAATTTAGAGTTGCGGGATGAGGGAAAAAAATAAGGTGCAAATCAATAACAAAAAAAATATAAAGTAAATAAATAAAAGGATAAGAGGAAAATGCTTGTATTGACGCTTAAAATGAATTTCGGTCTAGAAAAGCCTCACTGCTTTTCAGGACTGGGTAGTTTAAAGGAATAAAGCGAAAGGAAATGGCGGGTGCGATCATACCAGCATTAATGCACCGGATCCCATCAGAACTCCGAAGTTAAGCGTGCTTAGGCGAGAGTAGTACTAGGATGGGTGACCCCCTGGGAAGTCCTCGTGTTGCACTCTCATTTTTGTTTCGAAATCCAAATTTCCTATTCGTTCTTTATCCTGTAGTAATTTAGCTCCGTCGAAACGATTGCTTTATATTTTGCTTCTTGTCGAAACATGAAGACGGGTCTGAAGGCGCGAGACAAATCAGGAACGATACGGTTCGATCAAAGCCCGGATCGTCGCTCAAATTTGTGGGCGCAAATGTATCACCGCAAGCGTGAATGATTGATTTCATGATAATTTAGAGTTGCGGGATGATGGAAAAAAATAAGGTGCATATCAATAACAAAAAAAATATAAAGTAAATAAATAAAAGGATAAGAGGAAAATGCTTGAATTGACGCTTAAAATTAATTTCGGTCTAGAAAAGCCACACTGCTTCGCAGGACGGGGTATTTTAAAAGAATAAAGCGAAAGGAACATGGCGGGTGCGATCATACCAGCACTAATGCACCGGATCCCATCAGAACTCCGAAGTTAAGCGTGCTTGGGCGAGAGTAGTACTAGGATGGGTGACCCCCTGGGAAGTCTCGTGTTGCACTCTCATTTTTGTTTCGAAATCCAAATTTCCTATTCGTTCTTTATCCTGTAGTAATTTAACTCCGTCGGAACGATTGCTTTATATTTTGCTTCTTGTCGAAGCATGAAGGCGGGTCTGAAGGCGCGAGACAAATCAGGAACGGTACGGTTCGATCAAAGCCCGGATCGTCGCTCAAATTTGTGGGCGCAAATGTATCACCGCAAGCGTGATGGATTGATTTCATGATAATTTAGAGTTGCGGGATGAGGGAAAAAATAGGGTGCAAATCAATAACAAAAAAAATATAAAGTAAATAAATAAAAGGATAAGAGGAAATGCTTGAATTGAAGCTTAAAATGAATTTCGGTCTAGAAAAGCCACACTATTTCGCAGCCCGGGGTGGTTTAAAAGAATAAAGCGAAAGGAACATGGCGGGGGCGATCATACCAGCACTAGTGCACCGGATCCCATCAGAACTCCGAAGTTAAGCGTGCTTCGGCGAGAGTAGTACTAGGATGCGTGACCCCCTGGGAAGTCCTCGAGTTGCACCCCTCTCTTTTTTGTTTCGAAATCGAAATTTCCTATTCGTTCTTTATCCTGTAGTAATTTAGCTCCGTCGGAACGATTGCTTTACATTTTGCTTCGTGTCGAAGCATGAAGGCGGGTCTGAAGGCGCGAGACAAATCGGTAACGGTACGGCTCGATC